TTTAATGTATGTAGATGTCATTAAGTACAACATATGCTCATTAATTTTCACCTACTCAATTGCTGACAATATTGATATGATATTCTATAGTGCATGTAAAAATGCAAATGACAGAATGTAACGAGAAGTTGTTATTGATGTATCAAATGTAGTACAATTACTTCAATCTCGAAAAAAAGAATATTTATTTCATTTTGAAACAAATCACAATGTGTAATATATTTAACTTTAAATCAGAAATATACCATGCGATTGGTCCAAATAAACCATTACATTTTCATTCAAAATTAATGATAATGAAAATACAATATAAAAAGAAAACAGCCCTTGTTTGTAAAATACAGTACAGTTAGTACAAGATTTGATGATATCAGTTTCTCAAAAATTTAACTGCGAACTTGGAGCTGTCCACGACGCAATATAAGAGATATTCTAGATTAATTTTTGCTTTTTCTTAAAGCAAAATCTTACAAAAACTTTGAAAAGTCATTGCAAAATAATTTTTATTTTAGGTTGTTCATAATTATGGACATGGTGCAAATGGGATCTCATTGAGTTGGGGTACCAGCATAGATGCTGCTGAGCTAGTCAAAGAGGCATTGCTGGGTTCAAAACTATGATGCTGTATTTTCTTTGAGTTGGGAACCAGCATATAGTTACATCAGGACTAGTCAAGGACATTGCCTTCATATAAATGTGTTTTTCTAAATTATTTTAACTTCCGATGTTCCATGAATAATATATTGATTTTTCTTTGTTGTTTATAAAAATATTTTTAACAACTAACTTTTTGGATATGTACATTGTTACAACCATCGTCTGCTTGCCTTACCACCCATATCAAATAAGACCATATAACTCCTCTTTAAAGAATAAAATGATCATTTATGAAATATGCAATAAATGACAGTGGATCAAAAGCACAAATATAAAGACATGCACAAAAGTAATTAAAATTATATGCATCAACATCAAACAGGTACAAACATGATTAACATAAAATATATATTAATTAAATGGTTCTCATGAATGGTGTCAATCTGAAAACGGGGCGTTAACCCCCGAGCATAAATGAGTAACTAACATCAAATGAATAAGTACAAGTTGGAGGAGGGGTGGGTGGTGGCAGACAACAAGATTCTATTATGACCGACGTTCAAGAGAAATAGCGCATGTGCAGTAGTTTATTATGTAAATTAACCAGCTAAAATCGCTGGCTGAGGGGAAATCCCCACATCAGACAATGGGCAACAAACATAAACCATTTATTAACACAAATCGTTTTTCCCCTATATTTAAGTATGTGTTTAAAACCAACTTCTTTCGCCTTATTTGAAATTCATTATTGATAATCAATGCAAAGTTTTCCCCCATTTAATGGCAAATATGTAAAAATAATTTTAATTGTGATTTTGTGTACATTTGAATTTGTTTCATGCAATGAAATCATTTGCATAAAAAATTGATACAATTGAACGAATTGCACTAACTTTTAATATTATACATTGCTTAATAAAATGCAGGATTTTATTATCAATTTTTATCCATACCTTGTAATTTTGGTTTTTGTTTATCCAATGTTACCCAATTGAAATAACAGAAAAACATTTTTGTTTCCTTATCAACAGAACTTCTGTGTCTAAAGATACAGTTTTCGAAAAGAAACTTGGCTTAGGGTAATGACAAAGTCTGGAGAAGTGGTGCAAAATTTACTACTTAATTAAATAATTTAGGATGAAAAGCCTGGTCACTCGTAAAAAAAAAACGTTGAATGGCTCCATCTTACTCACCATCCGAAATCAGCTGTAAGCTATATTTATACGACATGGCATGTACAAACTATTATTATTAATTAAAAAGCTATGATAAATGAAATCAAATTAAGAACAATTTCCTTGATCATTAAAGATTAACATTTATGGTATGTCAAAGGTTGTAATATTCGATTTTTCCTCCTAATTTTTCTAATTGGATTGTATAATTTTTAGTATGTTTTGCATTATTTTCCGTTTCCATTTATTTTCGATTGTATTATATCATTCTCATTTGCATAATTTTTTTAAATTTAAATTCATAAAATTCTTTTTTACATTGTCTATAGTTTTTTTTTTATATGCATTGTATATATTTTTTCATTGATAAGCTATAATTTTCCATTTATATTGTTTTTCCCAGAAAATAACGGTTAAATAGTTATACAATGACAGTTTATTCTGCATGAACTAAATTAATTATATTGCTCTGACTACATTTTAAGAAAGTTAGTCTCCTAGGTTGAATCAACCCATAAAAAACTTTTACAACAGCATCAAAAAAGAAAGGTTGAAAGAATTTTTTCTTTTAAAAAAGACATACAATATAGCACAATTAATATCAATACAAGTCCATAAAGTCTGTAAAGGGGTGGGGTGGGGAATCGTGCCCAAAATTATTTTGCCAGTAAATTATTCATAACAGAAAACGAAATAAAGCTAGATATATACCTTTACTTTTTGCAAGTGTATTTTAACTTTTAATCAGGAGGGAAAAATATATAGAACATGAGTCTAGTTTTTAAACGCAGAAGACATATCTTAATACGTAAAATTCTTCCTAGATCCGCCCATGCACCACACAGCCTTTTTGTGTTTTTAAACAACCCCTTAATATTAAAAAAAAAGAATCAGCTGTTTAACCTCTGGTGCATAGAGGAGTGGAATTTTCCTTCATCTTATTTGGTGAGTACAATAACGCCTAACAGTAAAATTGCATTATCTTGTTAATTTATATCATTTGTTGAATTGCATATGCCATGAACATGCACGTTATTCTGAACAAAGCCATTATGGTCGTTTCTTTAGAAAAGGCAATATTGACCTGTCAATATTATGTAATAAAAATCACCGGTATAATGAATTTCATGTGTTAACATAAAATCATATTGCCGAATAAATTCATATACATTGGTTTTCCATGTTAAAATACTTCCTTCTCTTTACTGAATCAATCGACATATTTTCGTTGCCTGCTTAGATCTGTGAAGACCAGTGTATTGGTCTTTAGATAACAAGGGGAGATCTCAAAATACAACAAATACGAAATTACTATCTAGTTGTTTGCATGGGTACTGAAACGAACGTGGGATAATTTTATCCCATCTTACCTTATTTCATGTAACAGGTATATGATGAATATATATTTTTAATAACAAAATTTGCATTAAAAATATATTAACAGAAAGCAGTGTTCTTGGTGTTATAATGGGAAAAGCAAGAGGTGCTGACTGAACTTCTCAACCGAAAATGCAATGAGGGTGTTTGTTTATATGATTGTGTTGATCCTTTTTGGTTATGGAAAAAGTGACAACCAACAAACAATAGGTCAGCCATGCGTATAAATTATCCACAAAGAATAAAATTAAACTAAGGATTTTGCAAAAAGTTTTAATATCAATTTTAAATCAGTTGCATTTCAAAAGAAAAAGGATCAATAGGCACATTAACGTAAGTAAAATTCAAGTCACAAATTGATGTTCGTAGTTGCAAAGAACTACGCAAGGTTAACTCCCGATTCCCCCTACATTTATAATCATTTAATTCAATTCTGATGACTTTATCCATGGCCATAACAGTTTTGTTTAATACAAAGAACAGTTCGAAGGTAATTGATTAATTATTCTAATTCCAGTGCTAAATAGTAAAATATTCCTACTTCCAACTCTTGAAATAAGGGGGTGGTGGTGGTTAGACGATATTTTCCACTGAAATCGAGCTAGTTGGCTTATAATACAGCATCATCACATTCTGAGATATTATTGGATATGAATAAATGTTTCTTAAGTCTTCTGTTATGTTTTATGCGTATGAAATTAAGCATATATTAGTAAATTATTATGTTTCAGTTGTAAAGCACTGAGGAATTACTGAAAAAATAAGCATTTTTGTTGTTTTTTCTATAAAAACATATGTTGCCCCAACCCCGAAACACAAAATGTTTTTATATGAATTTGTGAAATGACAGTCCTTATTACCCGTAAAAAGGAATTTATGTTTCACTGGGGGAAAGATGTTATAAAAATATTTCCGTTTTTACCAAAATTTTGGGGTTATCGCTCGTTGTTTTCCTAAAGAAGTAAGTATTTGTTCTATGAAAATCCATATAAATATCAATATAGATATTAAAAATCATTCAAATATCTTAACATTTTGAAAATTGACTTGGAGGTAGGCGGAAGAACAATACTATCTTTCGCACTTCTTTTGATAAAATAACATATCTGGACAGGGAAGAGCTAAATATATAAGTTGATGTAACCTCTATCTGATTAATTAAATCATCATTTCGTAACCTCTATAGTCGTAATAATGACGTTATTTGCAACTACAAACCTAACATTGGATCGTATTTGCCTGACATGTTTCATATCAGTTGATTTGCCTGTGTACTTATATTATAAAATTTGACTACGGAATTTTCCGTGTACGTAATCAATACATATAGGACTCATCATGGGCAAGGCAGGTTTGACCAGTTAACAAGGGATGCTTACTCCTCCTAGGCACCTGATTCCATTTTTAGAGATTTGGGGGGCGGGGTCCCTACGAACGAACGCCCTGTGTACAAATTTGTATATTGTTTGTAGAGTACTTGAGATCGACCACTCTTTGTTATTGTTTTCTTTTCTTTCTATTTTCTTTAGGTGCTTAATTATGAAAAGCCAAATTAAAGTCAGTGACTTTCCTTTCCTAGAATAATAAAACATACTAGCTGGTACCTTAAAGCACTGACGTTCGTTACTTTGGTTGAAGATTATCACTTCCGTTATAATTTCAAGGCTTAAGCTTACATGAAATTTTACTGTGATCAAAAATTGGTATTAATTAAGTTCAGAGAAAGGAGGACATTTAGAAGAACAGCAATTTGTATTCATAAGTGTAGTTTAGGGCTCTAGGCTATAACAGATGATCGATATTATTATAATTCATATAATATTATTAAAAAAACAGAATTGGTGAAAGAAATCAAAAAAAAAAAAAAACATCTGTACTCTCATATTTTTAAAACAGAGAAGTGAATTTATAATTGTGGGATTTTCTGTTTTGGTTAAGTATAAATTCATTGTCATGAAGCATATCTACAAATTGTTGGTCATTAACATATTATTCCAGTCAGCTAACACAAGATGTACAACATTGCCGTGTTAGGGGCAGGCATCATTGGCGTGTCAACAGCTCTGAACATACAGAAGCAGCTTCCATCAGCTAGGGTAAAAATTATCTCGGAAAAATTCGGCCAGGAAACGACAAGTTGGGGCGCTGGAGGATTGTTCCGACCCAGCACCAAGTATATTGGAGGAGTTCCAGAAGAGAAAATACGGTAAGTTAAAAACTAGAGATACTGTGAGCAATTAGTTCACTAAATGATGCCCCCACCTCCCATATGAATAGATTGGCAGTGATCATGTTTTGCTATGGGAAATCCAAAATATGTGTTGGATCCAAAAGTCAAATAGTAGGTGCAAAATGGCAATATGTAATATAGATTCTTTGAAAGTCTCACCAAATTTCATTCCGTTGTATGAGAAGAGTTGCGGATAAGAAATGGGTATCAGATTACTATACCCGTCGCGTCATGTGTTTTCGTGGTATATACGTTTTCGTGGTATTTTTTTATTTTTAGCGGGGAATGACGTCATATTTGCTATTAATAAAGGGGAACCCTGGGGTAAAAAAAAAATTTGAAATGCGTAGAAAAATATGCTGATAAGAAATTTATGTATACTACTAAGTATTAAGAAATTAAGTTTTTTTTTTGCAGCAAATGGTCACGAACAGGATGGGAGTTTTATTCCTCACTAGCTGTGTCCGACAAGGCCAAGGAGGCCGGAATGCAGATTGTCACCGGTTATGTACTTAGTCAGACTAAAGTGATGGTACGTACAGATTGTCAATGGTTATATGTCGCCTGACTGACGCAGTGGTTATATATCGTCTGCTCTAGAGTCGCGAAGTAAGGAGTTGAATCCAGTCCTTCGGATGAGACCGTATAAATCGAGGTCCCGTGTCGCAGAAGGTGCTGGCACGAAAAAGATCCCTCTCTGCCATGGCCCTTAGTGCTGAGCATAGGACAAAATTTGCAGCTCTCCACCAGCAAGTGGTGGCGTCTCCATCTGAGTGAAAAATTCTCGAGAGTGACGTTAAACGATAAACAAACAATCAATCAGTTATTGATTACATGTGTGTTATACTTAGTCCAACTAAAGTGGAGGTACGTTTAGATTGTCAGTGGTTAAATATTTAGACTGACAAAAGTGGAGTGTAGACAATTAACAGTTACATACTTAGTCAGACAAAAGTAGAGGTACTTTTAGATTTTCAGTGGTTACTCACTTAGTCAGTACCGTAGTGCAAGTAAATACCGTTTATGCAAATGATAAAATGAAACGAGATTTTATATCATATATAGTACAATCATAAAGCATAACATTTATTTCAAAATATTATTGTTATCGAAAAAAAGGAACATAGTATTTCATTTTTTTAAAAATTACAATACAATAGCAGGTATTATTTGACTTTTTAAATCAGTAAAATATGCTTGTAGAATAAATGAACCAATAAATTTTCAATAACTATATATTAGATACAATATAAAAAGTGGCACTCGTTGTAAAATGATATTAGTACAAGATTTGGTGATATCAGTTCTTAAATTGCTTTTTCTCAAAGCGAAATCTTGCATAATTTTTAAAGATTCACAGCAGAATTATTTTTGTTTTAGGTTGTTTAGGTCTCCATCTGAGTGAAAAATTCTCGAGAGTGACGTTAAACAATAAACAATCAATCAATCAGTTATTGGTTACATGTGTGTATATACTTAGTCCAACTAAAGTGGAGGTACATTTAGATTGTCAGTGGTTAAATATTTAGACTGACAAAAGTGGAGTGTAGACAATTAACAGTTACATACTTAGTCAGACAAAAGTAGAGGTACTTTTAGATTTTCAGTGGTTACTCACTTAGTCAGAAAAAATGGAGACACATTTATTTTGTCATTTAGTAATACTTAGACAAAAGTGGAGGTACAGTGTACGTTTAGTTTGTCATTGGTTAATTGCATACTTAGACAAAAGTGGAGGTACGCAGAGATTGTCAGTGGTAAGATTGTCAGTTATTTTATCAAATAAAAGTGGAGGTATACATACAGATGGTCAATGCGTTACACGCTTAGACAAAAGTCGAGACACGAAAAGATAGTCATTGTTTAAACAGATTGTACTTGGTCAGTCAAATGTGGAATTAGGTACACTCATAAATAGATGGTGATTGAATGTTTTCTCATTATGGTAAATTTTTGCCCTTTCCGCTCCCCATGACGATCAACCAAAAGTTGAAGTAGGTATACTTGAGCACATGAATGTTCACGTATAATTTGAATATGTTCAACTGAAACATTTACCAAGTTCAATTTCTTCGTCAAAAAAGGTTAAGGTACAAAATCTTATACAAAATGTTTGTAGACACTCAGAAAGTCGTTTGTTGTATAATATTTTGTCAAACAAAAGATTAGGTATATAGACTCAGTAATAATTGCTAGTTATACATTTAGAAAAACAAAAATTAAGGTAAATGGGGCTCTCAAATAACATTCATACTTTACAGTCATACCAAAACATGGATTGATTGATTGTATGTTGTTTAACCGTCCCTCGAAAAAAAATTTCACTCAAATGGAGACGCCCCACTTGCTGATGGAAAGCTGCAAATTTTGTCCTATGTACTCGGCACTCAGGACTATTGAGCAGTGAAGGGTCTTTTTTTACCAGCACTTCCTGCGACACGGGACCTCGGTTTATACGGTCTCATCCGAAGGACCGATCTCTTACGTCTTACAGTGGGACCAAAACATGGAAGAAAACATTAAAGATCTATTTCAAAATTATCCAAAGAAAAAAATACCCACAGAATATCTAGACACGACAACGTTTTGGCTAATAGACCTTTGTGTCAATTGCTTACCATAACACATTATCTGCATTGATTTCTAAAATATACATGATTTCTTTTCTAGAATCCAGTATATAAAGATGTTGTGTACAGTTTTCACGAACTGAGCACAGAGTCAAAGCTAAAACTGGGCTTTGGCCATTACAAGTGAGAAAATAATACATTTCTGTGGAATTTGCTTTAGTTGCTGTTAATCCAGTTAAATGGTCTTTACCTCACAATACTTTTCTTATTTTAGTTACGCCTACATAGTTACTACAGTTATTGCAACAGTCAAAGACTATCTACCATGGTTATTTGAGAGGTAAAACTTACCAAATTATCCCATAATTTTATATCCATTTAAGTTTGTTTTGACATTAATGGTTGTTTGATTACAAAAGACATGGCATGTTATCAGTGAACGATCTTGAATTGCATTTAATTATAACTAGGTTTAAAGAAAACGGGGGTCAAACAGAACAGAGGCGGATCGATGATTTGAATGAAGTAAGTACTACTATGAATTTGAAAATAATATACAAATTGGCGTTCTGGAAAATTTTATGCTCAAATAAAAAAAATGACAATACAAAATGCGCCTATTTATGTCACCAATTAAAGTCCTGTGTAGGAAATGCCGGAAGAAGGGTAGGAGAATACTTGCAGTCTCTATGCATTTCAAGGTCATTGCACACTCACTTCCTTAGTATAAATGGCTTATTGTATATGATATAAAACACATGTAAAGATAACAGATAAAAAATTACGAACATGAAGAAACGGTTATTAAATGCTATTGTATCAACATTCGAATACAGAAAGTACTGAGTATTTTCAAAGTGACAAAGTTTTTATTCAACCAAAGTTTTATTTAACAAAAGATTTCACTTTCATCGGAATAAATACATGTATAATATGCACATGCATGTGAAAATATGTCCCAGTGTGTTATAAAGTTTAAGAAATTGTCACTCTCTAGGCTCGAGTTCACAAGATAAGTCTATAAACTGCATTATATTAAATGTTATTGTAGCAAAATTCCAATACAGAAAGCACTTTTAAAGATTAACTTAAGGTTTTTTACACAACGATTTACTTTCATCGGGTCGTTTTTTTGTTTTTTTTGTTTTTTAATGGGAGTTTTTTTTGTTCTTCTATGTCAAACCCAAAATATTTGTTAGTCAAAATGTAATATAGGAGGTGCACAATGGCAATATGTAATAAAGATCTCTTCTGAAAGTTTCATCAAATTTCATTCAGTGGTATGAGAGGAGTTGATTAATGAGTTTTTATCCTAATCACTTTGAATTGTAAAATAATTTTCACATGGATCACCTCCTCACAATGTCATGGTTTTTTGACTTCATAACTCCACGTTTTCAAGCGGGGGATGTAACAAAAACCTTGACATTGTGAGAATGAATTGACCACTGTTCTTTATTAACTTAACCCCTTTCACTTTTCAGCTGGTTGGTATGTACGATATTGTCGTCAACTGTACTGGTTTCGGAAGTCGCACTCTGTTTGGGGACAAGTCAATATTTCCTGTTCGTGGACAGTTACTCAGGGTAAATAATATAATGAGATATTAATTATCAATATAGGTAATTTAATCAATTTTAATTTTAAAACACCACCAGCACCACCACATCCAAATATAAATAATTATTAATTTTAAAAATAGATATTTTAAATCTCAACCATATGTAATATATTTCATTTTGCAGACAATTAAGATTCAAAATTGCATTTTTTAAATAGATAAATGCTCGTTTAATTCTAAAGTATGTTAATGAATTTTAATTAAAACATTTAAACAAACTTGCAGGAAGTGCAAGTTATAGGTTCAAATGATTTCAATTGAAAGAAGATACATGTACAGATATTTATAACACATATTTTCCTTTTATTAACATGTTTTAGGTTAAAGCACCATGGATAAAGAATTTTGTATATACAGAAGACGATGCCTACCTTATTCCAAAGTAAATATTTTAGATAAAATGAATTGTGTATAATTAATTTTCTTAGCTTAATAATTACTCGAGTTTATAAATGTATATGTTGTATATAATTATGTATATTTACGGACTTGAATAAATTGATTTTAGTGGTGATTTACTGGTTGTTGGAGGTTGTCGACAGGAGAACAATTTTAATCTTAATATAGAAAGCAAGGACCGGGAAGGGATCTTAGAAAGATGCTTTAAGATATTTCCAGCTTTAAAGGTAATATGCACTATTCTTTTTAATTATCAATTAAATAAGCAGATATAAAAGTTTGCGGAGAAAAGATTTATGCAAATTTATGTAAAATAATAAAAATGATAAATCAATCTAGAAAATTCAACTACTTATAAAATAACAGGAATACACAAAGGTAAATAATTTAATACAAATTCGATTGAAAGTTGACCTTTTTTATTAAACTCTATAAATGTGTAATTCATATTTAATGTAGTTTATTTTAGAGCTTTTGCCTTGATTGTCATGATTATTTCTTTCAACTACAGGGAGCAAAGATTGATCACGAGTGGGTAGGACTTCGTCCAACACGTTTTCCCATTCGTATTGAGAAAGAAGTTATACAGCTTAAAAAGGGACCTTTAAAAGCAAGTCTCACTTTTTCCCTTTCTCACACACAACAGTATTCTTAGGAAATAATGATTCTTGGTTCAAACACATATTCATGTTTTAACCCTACTTCTACCCCAGTTGGAGGTTACTCTTTCTCAAAGACAAACAGATCGGAAAGCGCTAAATAGACATTTAGTATTTAGTATTGTTGTTATTTCAAAATTTAGAAGAAATGTACAATCAACTTTCTAAAACTAACAAGCACCATTCACAAACCCTTGGAATAAATGCAGATGACATTTCCAACACGTGCTTTTAATTTTCACATATTCAATTGCTGACAAACTTGACAGTATGTTTCAAATAATGTTTATACAAATAAAATCAAAATTAACTTTAGATTGAAATTGATCAGAAATTGTTTTGAAATACAAAACTTAATGTGACAATAATTCCAAAGCATAATACTTTAAACATTATTGAACACCATTTTTCAAACTTTATGTAAATGTATGTACAACCCTAATGTACCGTAGTGCAAGTAAATATGCAAATGATAAAATGAAACGAGATTTTGTATCATATATAGTACAATCATAAAACATAACATTTATTTTAAAATATTATTATTATCGAAAAAAAGGAACATAGTAATTCATTTTTTAAAAAATTACAATACAATAGCAGGTATTATTTGACTTTTTAAATCAGTAAAATATGCTTGTAGAATAAAAGAACCAATAAATTTTCAATAACTATATATTAAATGCAATATAAAAAGTGGCACTCTTAAGCTTTGTAAAATGATACATGTATTAGTACAAGATTTGATGATATCAGTTATTAATTTGCTTTTTTTCAAAGGGAAATCTTGCATAATTTTTAAAGATTCACAGCAGAATTATTTTTGTTTTAGGTTGTTCATAATTATGGACATGGTGCTAATGGAATTTCAATGAGTTGGGGCACCAGCATAGATGCTGCTGAGCTAGTCAAAGAGGCATTGCTTGGTTCAAAACTATGATGCTGTATTTTCCTTGAGTTGGGAACAGCAAATAGTTACTTCAGGACTAGTCAAAGTCATTGCCTTCATAAAATGTTTTTTTTTAATTTTTACTTCTGATGTTGATTGAATATATGGAAGTTTATTGTTGTTTATAAAAACATGTTAAACAATTAACTTTTCCAGATATGGACATGTACAGTGCTACAACTTCATTATGTATATTCTATTTTTCTCTGTGTATAATTATGTGATAAAACCAATTTCTTCTGCCTTATTTTGAAATTCATTATTTGATAATCAATTCAAAGTTTTCCCCATATAGTGGCAAATATAGAAACTAATTTTAATTGTGATTTTATGTATATTTGAATTTGTTTCATACAATAGAATCCGTTGTTTTAAGTAGTTTTGATACAATTTAATAAAATGTACTTAACTTATAATATTATACATTGCTTAATAAAATGCAGGATTTAATTATTAATTTTTAATTAATGTTCAATGTTTCTCGATTGAAATAACAGAAAAAACATTTTTTGTTTCCTTATCAACAGAACTTCTATGCCTGTAGATATACTGGGCCTCGGGAAATGACAAAGTTTCTAGTAGTTATGCGAAATTTACTTTTTAATTAATTAAATAAATAAGGATGAAAATTACAAGTCATACATAAAGATGCTAAATGGCTCCATCTTACTCAACATCAAAAATCAGCTGTAAACAATACTTATACGATATGACATGTACAAACTATTCTTATTTCATTGTAAATTTATTAAAATTAAAGCAAATAAAGAACGCTTTCCATGATCATTAAAAGTTTACTTTTATGGTATATCAAGCGTTGTAATATTCGACCCCCCCCCCTCCCCAAAATTTTTTTCCTCTTGAATTGTATAATTTTTAGTATGTTTTGAATTATTTTCCATGTCCATTTATTTTCCATTTGTATTACTATTATATCATTCATTTTTTTAAAATTCAAATTCATAATATCCCATTTATATTGTATATTTTAAAATTTGCATTATATGTATATTTAATATATATGTTTTTCATTTATATTCTATTATTTTCCATTTATATATTTTTTTTCCGGGAAAATGAAAAATTGTAAGGATGAATAATTATACAGTGAAAATGGAAAAATTATACAAAGGAAATGGAAAATAATCAAGTACAAATGGAAATAAAACAGTACAAATGAAAAATTATGCAGTGCAATAGGAAAATGATAGGATGCAAAAACATAATAAATGAAAATGAAAATTAATCCATTCCACTTATGAAAAAATATACAATACAAATAGAAAATTAAAATAATTAAAATTATACAATACAAATAAAAAAATATATAATAAAAAGGCAATGTACATGCACTAAATACAACTGAAATATATAGAGTATAAATAAAAATATGCATTGTAAATAAAATTAATTATACAAATAGAAAATTATACAATACAAATATAGATAACACAGCATAAGTAGAAGTTTATATAAATTAAATGGAAAATTATACAATACAAAGGGCAAGATAGCCTAAGACCCCTTTTTGTCCTCTGGTTTGGGGTGTCTTTTAGAATGATACAACAGTATATATATAAGAACCTGAACACATTTTTTATTAATGTTTGGTTTTATCACTCACAGATGTCCACAATTTTCGATTTTTCCAATTTTTATGCAAAATATCATTCATTTTCCATCAAATTTTGTATCAGAAAATATAAAACACAAGTAATCTATCCTATGTATATATTTCATGCACTAGAATTTGATGCATCTTTGGTATAAAAATCTAAGATAGGCAAGTGCTCTGTGTTTTTCGAAGTGAAAAGTATATCAAATTTGGCAAAATTCCAACAGAATTGAGGAAAATGCTCTACCTTTGCGTCCTCCATTTACATTTTAAATCAAAATTCGTGCCGGTTTTAAAGCAAGCATCATTTTAAGCTCTTAAGCACAAACTATCCCAATTAAAAAATGTGTTTTGATCTTTGCATCAAATAGTTGGGGCCAGATTCGGCAGTTAGGTATGATCATTATCCTTTAAACAAATCAAATGGAAAAGAACGAATATTGCAACGTTTGACACGCCATACAAATTTATATGGCTAACTTCTATATTTGTAAACATATATGTTAAAAGCCTAGAAACCTAGAAAGATTACTGCGGGTACACAACGATATCCGACATTGACGAGTATCACGGGGTCATCCTTTTATCATGCCATATATAATTATATATATAGAAAGATCAGACCTGGAACCCAGTAAAACTGTCAGATTAAGCTGTAAGTACACGTTTTTTTCTCTAATATTTTGTTTCACCTTTTATGAGGCTGTGCAAATTCCTTATTAAAGGTGTCTGTTACGTTGAAATGAAATTATTCCTCTTTCTGTCATAAAAACATTACTGTATATAAGGCAATTTATAATGAGACTCATTCTCCTTTTATTCCTGTGTTTGCTTTGAATAAGAGATGGAGTGCTGGGATATTTTCACATCCTCTATAAATATATCAATAGTTTATGAAGTTTGTATGCTTAAAATTGCAATATCAAATCCTAAGAAAACTGAAAAAGAGTGTTGCTACGACATAGATTTCTTACGGAAGCTCATTTGTGTTAAAAATGAAAGCTTGAATGCGTCCATCAATTCGTTTATCATTTTTTATATACACTGTATTTTATTTTTTACGAATTTTCAATATTTTTTTTACAGATACAAATCATTATTTGAAATGTTGTAAATTCTTGGGATTATTGTCTGGCTTTTGACTAAATCATAAAATTAATATATTCAATACACTTGTGTATTTGATTTTAAAACCCACACTTTTCTTTATCCTCACAATAACCTTACCTAGTTGTTTTGTTGCATTCGGAGGCACGTGTATAAAAGTAAAATTATGTATTTTTTCTTGGTTTTCAAAGAACAATTGCTAGGTAGTGCTCTAGAATGAATTTTGGGTTTGGGCTGTGTCAACCCTTTTCTATTTGCTTCCTACGGGTCTGCAGTATTAGTCAATGAACTTTGCGGACTAAGTCTACATGCAGCCACTTTGAAAGAAGAAGAGATATATAATACAAAAGAATATATGATTTTGTATCTGCTTTTTCCGGTTTGCTGAAATGATGTATACATGTTCAGCAAACGTACATGTACCAACAATGATATACACCATACAACATCAACATATCAACTGGAGAAAGCAGTTTATAAAACTTACATTATTTTCTATGTAATTATACATGTATGTATCGATTCGGTGCAAAAATGTTATTTTCATTACTGTAAACCAAATTTTATTCACGACGACTTTATTTCGCGATTAAAAATGTTTTTTCATTTTTTTAATAGACATTATTTGAATTTTTTCGGAACTTCGCGACTATTTTTTCCTGATATATCCTTACTTTTATTTATCCTAGATACTTATATATAGGACATGGTTGGCGTGACAGTAATCGGCGCTGGCGTAGTTGGCCTCTCTACTGCCGTCAACATACAGCGTCTCCTTCCGTCTTGTCACGTGACTATTGTAGCAGAACACATAATAGAAGGAACGACAAGTTTTGGAGCTGGCGCTATTTTTAGACCGACGTCAGAGTATATTCCAGGAGTTAACATAGAAAGAGCCAAGTATTGAAGACATAAATTTTTTTAATATTTTGATTTTTAAGTCAAGGTAAATGCTAAATTTTGAATCAAAAATTTTCTTCGTTTTATTAACTTTTCTGTGCTATATTATTATATATAGAAAATGGACACAAGACGGATGGGACCACTTTTCCTCTCTAGCTATGTCAGAAGAAGCTGGTACAGCAGGCATTGCCATAACACCTTCATTCATGTTAAGTCAAACAGAAATATCGGTAATTATCCAACTGTTTTAATTAAATTATAAACTATGTTTATTGATATAATGTAGAGGTATCTTTTTAATTTTGTTTAAGTCACGATATTGTCAAACGGAGACTTTTACCTTCTCTCCCACCAATCATTTAAGTTAAGGTAACAAATGTCAACAATACGAATTTCTCTTAATCTTTACAATTATAATTTCATGAAAAAAAATCGAAATATATCAATTTACATTTTTGCATGAGATTATAAAAATATACTTAAAATTCAAATAAACATATTAACCTCAATCTGGTATATCCAAAAGATCCAAAATTCATGACTTTGGGTTTCTGGTCACTTTTAACAATGTCTAAGTTTTCTGTTCCCTAATTCATTAACTCTATATCCACAAGAAAATTGAATTTGATTTTTAACGGATAACTTATGGAAAAAATGAATTTTTTATCATTACAATTTTTGAAAATTACAATAGTAATAGATATTCATTTCTTGTGGGAGTTAAGACAACACTTTGACATCTTTTATTTAATCATTGATGTAGGATCCTCTTTATAAAGATGTTGTGTTCACGTTTCACGATTTAAGAGAAGAAGAAGTGAGAAAGCTGGGGTTTAACAAATACTTTAAGTAAGTAGAAATGCATTTGAAAAAAGAACTGAATTTAATGTAAAAGCAAATAATAAATTCGACCTTATAAACTCGGAGCAAACGCTCTTCTTTTCACTCCGGAATAATTTTCACAAAACCTTGTGAAAAGTACTAGAAGAAACAAGATGTGTTTTTGAAACACTGATGCCTTCGTATGGCAGTTTATGTCGAAGGTTAAAGTTTCTCAAATGCAATTCAAACTCAAAGGCGTTGTCTTATTTAAAAAAATTTAACTAGCTATGTCGACCTTACAAATTAAAAAAAAAGCTATGCTGACTAAAACATTTTGAAAGACAGAGATATTAAACGATAGATAAAGGCTTGATGAGATGTAGAGAAAGTTGATATGGTGTTAATATAATCAATGACACATACTCAAGAGTTATTCAAAATTGATATACCTTAATTGTAATGAAATAAGACTTTTTTGATATCAAAAGACATACAGATATATAAAAATGAAAATTGGATAAGAGCTGTACAAAATATTTGAAAAAATATTCTAATGTAAAGAAAAAATATCAATGTGTGCACAGATGGAGAAATCTGCAGTTCTAAAGTACACCAAAAACAAAACAAAATTTAAATTGAATCCAAAAGCAATATACATACACCTCAAAGTATATAAAAACAAGAGGCCCACGGGCCTTATAGGTCACCTGAGCATTACGCAACAATTTTCCAGTTATTGAATTTGATTCATGTTTTAAGCCAGATGCTATATGACATTCACAATTTTAAAAGAGGCACCATTGATCATCATAACAATACACTTAGCAGTTGCTTAGCTTGGTTACTGAATACCCATATGCAGGGTAGGGGAACAAAAATGCATTCCAATAACCAGTAGTGCCCCTAACACTGTGACATAAACCTTTGACCCTAGGTCCACACATTGCACAAATTTCAAAAAGGCACCCTTAATATCAAAAAATAAATAAATGTTTTATAAATACAAAAGAGCAGATTTCAAACAATAAATCCATTTTCGTATATATAACAGAGCCCCCACCCCACCCCTGACCCTGGGGCTTTGAAATTCACAATTCTGCAAGATTAGGGCCCTTTCTCATCATAACTATAAAGGTAGTTCATCTGCTTTATACCCAGAGACAAAGAAAAATTTTTTCAAAGATTTAATGTATTTTCATTATATAATCAATTGAGCCCCACCCCCTAACACCAGAACCCCTGACCCTGGGGCCATAAAATTCATAATTTTAAAAGAGGCATTCTTGCTCATCATAACTCATATGTACTTAGTTTATTTAATTCCTAAGCAGAGAAGAAGATTTTCAAAGAATTCATGTATTTTCAATGTATAATCAATAGAGCCCTGCCCTAACACCAGAACCCCTGACCCTGGGGCCATAAAATTCACAATTTTGGTAAAAACACTCTTGCTCATCATAACTATGCACTTAGTTAGTTTATTTAATACCTAGGAGCAGAGAAGAAGATTTTCAAAGAATTCATGTATTTTTACTATATGTAATCTATAGAGCCCCGCCCTAACACCAGAACCCTTGACCCTGGGGCCATAAAATTCACAATTTTGGTAGAGGCACTCATGCTCATCATAACTATGCACTTAGTTAGTATATTTAATACCCAGGGGCAGAGAAGAAGATTTTCAAAGAAATCATGTATTTTCACTATATATAATCAATAGAGCCCCGCCCTAACACCAGAACCCTTGACCCTGGGGCCATAAAATTCACAATTTTGGTAGAAACTCATGCTCATCATAACTATGCACTTAGTTAGTATATTTAATACCCAGGGGCAGAGAAGAAGATTTTCAAAGAATTCATGTATTTTCACTATATATAATCAATAGAGCCCCGCCCTAACACCAGGGCCCCTGACCCTGGGGCCATAAAATTCACAATTTTGGTAAGGCACTCTTGCTCATCATAACTATGTACTTAATTGGTTTATTTAATATGCAAGAGTAGAGAAGAAGATTTCCAAAGAAATATTGCATTTTCACTATATACTTATTTAGCCCCGCCCTAGCACTAGAACCCCTGACCCCAGGGCCATGAATTTCACAATTTTGGTAAAGGACTCAATGCTGATTACAATCATGCAAACAGTTTGACTGCTTGATGTCCAGGAGTAAAGAAGAAGATTTTTAAAGATTGCATTAATTTTAGTGGTTTTGGCCCCACCCCTCGGGCCCCAGGGGGGCAGGGATCATGAAATTCACAATTTTTGTTCCCCTTCACCCATAGATGCTTTGTGCCAAATTTGGTTGAAATTGGTTCAGTGGTTGCAGAGAAGAAGCTAAAATGTTCAAATGTTAACACACGATGGACGACGAACGACGGACGACGGACGACGAACGACGGACGACGACGGACGAAAACGGATAGCAATAGGTCACCTGAGTTTACTCAGGTGACCTAAAAATCAATGTTATCTTTCTAGGTTTGGGTATCTTGTAACTACAGTTGTTATTACAACAAAATTATACCTTGCATGGCTTCTCAGAAGGTAAGGTTATTTATAATTTTATTTAATTATAATAAATCAGTATTACTGATTTTGTCCTATTATATCCGTATGGTTCACAATATAAGAATTTACATTGAGTTTCATGCTAAAAACAAAAATCTGATCTTCTAAATAAAATGAAACAATGATGTACATTGTATGACGTAATGAATATACCCTTTTCTACAATATGTGAAAGTTTCATATTTTTTTTTAATTCAACGTGTGCATATTTCTGCAGCAATAAGTAAGAAAATATGTGTACAAAGTTTTTATAGTTATTAAGACAGCACGAATCAATCTATTAAAAAAATTCTTATCATGCTAATTTACATGCTAATATACACTGGTGTCTAACGCTAAATGTACATTTTTAAAAAATAGGTACTTGGTTTTTAGCTCACCTATGCCGAAGGCTCAAGTGAGCTTTTCTGATCACATTTTGTCCGGCGTCCGTCTGTCCATCTGTCTGTAAACTTTTCACATTTTGGACTTCCTCTCAAGAACCACTGGGCCAATTTCAATTAAACTTGCCACAAAGTATCCTTGGGTGAAGGGGATTCAAGTTTGTACAAATTAGGGCCATTTTCATTCAAGGGGAGATAATTGAGAATTACTGAAAATTTGGTGATATATTTTAAAAAAAACTTCTTCTCAAGAACCACTGTGCCAGGAAAGATGAAACTTATGGGGAAACATCCTCAGATAGTGTAGATTTAAGTTTGTTCAAATCATGTCCCCCGGGGATAGGGCAGGGCCACAATGGCCGACCAAAGTTTTATACAGAAATATATAGGAAAATTCTTTAAAAATCTTCTTCTCAAGAACAGCAAAGCCATAATTGCTCATATTTATATGGAAGCATCCCCAGGTAGTGTAGATTCAAGTTTATTCAAATCATGACCCCCGGGGGTAGGGCGGGGCCACAATGGCCGACCAAAGTTTTATATAGAAATATATAGGAAAATTCTTTAAAAATCTTCTTCTCAAAAATAGCATAGCCATAATTGATCATATTTATATGGAAGCATCCTCAGGTAGTGTAGATTCAAGTTTGTACAAATCATGACCCCCGGGGGTAGGGCGGGGCCAAAATGGCTGAAACAAAGTTTTATAAAAATATATAAAAAAAAAAAAATTCTTCTCAAGAACAGCAAAGCCATAATTGCTCATATTTATATGGATGCATCCCCAGGTAGTGTAGATTCAAGTTTGTACAAATTGTGACTCCCGGGGGTAGGGCGGGGCCACAATGGCCGTCACCAAAGTTTTATATAGAATATATTGGAAAATTCTTTAAAAAACAAACAGCAAAGCCATAATTGCTCATATTTATATGGAAGCATCCCCAGGTCAGATTCACATTTATTCAAATCATGACCCCTAGGGAGGGACCAAAGGCCTTTTATTTTTTTCACAATTTTATATAGAAATATATAGGAAAATTCTTTTAAAATCTTCTTCTCAAGAACAGCAAAGCCATAATTGCTCATATTTATATGGAAGCATCCCCAGGTAGTGTAGATTTAAATTTGTTCAAATCATGACCCCCGGGGGTAGGGCGGGGCCACAATGGCCGACCAAAAGTTTATATAGAAATATATAGAAAAACTCTTTAAAAATCTTCTTCTCAAGAATAGCAAATTCATAATTGCTCATATTTATATGGATGCAAAGTATATATATTAGTGTAGATTTTTGTTAAACTATTATTCATGTTTTTTTAAAGTTTTAAAAAACTTTTCAATAGTAAACCAATTACTACTTTTTCCTAGCCACAATGCTCGGGTGAGCGATGTGGCCCATGGGCCTCTTGTTAATTATATGGGACAATTGACAACTTTTGTGACTGATTTTTATGTATACTTATTCTCAAAACTGGGATTAAAAAAACTACTTTTACAGGTTTCTTCAAAATGGCGGGAAAATTGAACGAAGACGAGTTAATAGCATAGATGAGGTAAAAGGTGCCATTTAACAAAAACTGTCTCCTATTATACGTAACATCAAACATACATGTATATATTAATTGTAAATACTTAAATAATTATGCATATATATCAAAACATTTGAAATATTATTGATGTTCAATATGCATGACAGTTGATGGAGTGATAATTTTGAATGCACACTTATGACATAACTGAAAGCCAAGAGGTCTAGAGGTCTGTTGCTTGTAATTACTCTAGTTTAGTAAAGAGGAAATCAATGCAAGTTGACTTTGAGTGTGCAACCTTATATTGTTCTTTCCTTAAGAACTTTATAAATAAATCTTTTAATTTTCATTTTGCAGTTTGTTGGACGGTGCGATGTCGTTGTAAATTGTTCTGCAATAGGCAGTCGTCAGTTGTTCGGAGACAAAAAGATTTATCCAAATCGAGGACAGCTTTTGAGAGTATATATTTAGAATAATATAATAGAGAAAGTTGGACACATCCCGTTTCAGAGTGTATTTGGCCCTATTTAAGCTTTATACAATGCAATTTGACGCCTTGTCTATTCCTTCATATTTGTCTCCCTGTTTATTTCCGATATGACAGATTTGACTGCATTTCAAATATTTTATGGAAACTTTCACATGTTTAATATTAATTTTCTTGTGTAATTAAATTAACAGAATTAACTTTTAGATTTTTGTTAGTATGACTGAGTATATCATTTCATTTTACATGTCACTTTTTCGTTTTTGTTGAAAAGGTGAAAGCACCATGGATAAAATATTGTGTATATACAGACGGGGATGCATATATAATTCCAAAGTAAGTGTAGAAATTTTGTGGAAATGATTTGTCTATTTGTACAGTTTTGTAACTGGGATTGAAAAATTTACAAGATTTGAAAACAGTAAAATTCATTGTTGTTTATTAAAGCCAGGACCTGGTGGCGGTCGGAGGATGCAGGGAAGATAACAATTTCAACACATCCATAAGTAAAGAAGATTCAAAAGCAATCATGGAAAGATGTTGCAAAATTTGCCCTTCTTTAAAGGTTTTCAAAATTTAAAAATCATTCAAATGAAAATTTGATGAATACAAATATCAGTTATTTACTGATAAAGATGGACATCCTTATACATAATGTATTAGGTGAAGATGATGATATCTGACATCTAAAAAACTCTATAAACAATAAAAATGTTAAAAAGGCATAAAACACGGGTCCAGGGAAATTCCAGAGGTGGGATCAGGTGCTCGGTTTGAGCACACTTTCCCTATTAACCGTCAACACAATAATAATAAATAATCATTATTTTTATCATCAAAAACAAACAAACAAAATTGCTACAACTGGCAAACCAACCTCAATAACCTAAACAGGAATTGCATTCAAAAACATTAATAATAAATGACTGGCCACCAATCAGTTAAGTTGCTTCTATTTTTTTCTGCAGTCAGCTGAAATCGATAATGAATGGGTAGGGCTGAGGCCGATTCGATCCCCTCTTAGACTTGAAAAAGAAGATATACAGTCAGATCGTGGCAAAATGATTGTAAGTATTAGTCAGCCTGTATCATTTTAACACTGGATTATAAATACTAGTATATTTACTGTATCCTTTTTTACTGTTATCTCAAAATGTCATATTTTAAATCAGTTGGATAGCATATATACGTATATCTTTCTAAGCCTTTTTTCATGAAATGGCATACACCAGATCTATTTGAAATTCTCTCATATCAGTTTATCATGTTTCAAAGTCTATATGTTACAAAAATGACTTGTTAAACTCTATAATTAAGTGATTTTAAACTTAAAAAAAGACTAAAGTACAGGTGAACAATCTTTCAGTTTCTGAGTTGGATTATGTTAAATGTAATGTGTGCATGCTTTATGAATTATCCACTTGCTTTATATTCGAAAGGTTGTTCATAATTACGGGCATTGTTCAGACGGTATTGGATTGAGTTGGGGTACTAGTATGGAAGCTGCCAACCTTGTTGTAAGCTGTATAAATTCTCAGTCCAAGTTGTGATATTCAACATGTGTCTAGTTTAACATTCGAGCCATTTATTGATATAAAATGTGCCCTTTCTTTCTTTTATCTTTTCTAATAAAAACTAGAGGTACTGTGAGTACTGAGCTCTGTAAATGATACCCCACCTCCCATATGATCTTAATAACAAAGTACATATTTTGATCTGGGAAACTCGAAATAAGTGTCAGATCAAAAAGTAAAATAAGAGCCGCTCAGTGGCATTATGTAACAAAGATTCAAAGAATCTGTGAAAGTATCAGTAAATTTTATTCAGTGAAATGGGAGGAGTTACGGATAAGAGATGGGTACCCTTCGATATTATGGAAAGAAGGACAGTGTCCATGTTTTGCTATGGGAAACCCGAAATATGAAACTCATATAGAAGCATCCTTTGAGGTCACAATGTCAAAATCATGACTAAGATTCTTTTACATAGAAAAATATAGAACAAATCTTTAAAAATCTCTTCTAAAATCCACTCAGCCAGTATAAGAGGAGTTGTGGATAAGAGATGGGTACCCTAAAGCCTAACACACTGACGAACGGACAGACGACATCCCGATCACTATTTACTCTCCCACTTTTCAAGCGGGGGTATAATAATGAGAAATTCCTCCTTACGGTACTTTGGGAGAAATTCCTACACGAAAGGTCGGTATTGTAAAATTGCAAAACTTTCCCTAGCGCGGTTTTTTAAATGTGTGTTATAAATTTCATTCATGATTTTAAAAAAATTAATCACTCAAATAAGCAATCTTTGTTTTAAATATCTTCTCTTAGTGTAAAATTACTGCTATTGACTAGACTTGGAAACTTCCTGTTATATGATATTTATTATATGTACTTTTTATTTGAAGAATTTTAAAGGAAAGGTTTCATAAAATGAACACCTTTTTAAAGGAAAAAATGATAAAAAGACGTCATAAGCTGTAATAATGTATGACTACCGTGCGTGAAAAATTAAAAAAAACTTCCCCATAACGAAATAAAGGTGACAATAATTCCCAAATTAGCTAATGTAAATGTATTCTTTTACGTAACGAAAACTTTGTTGATGATAAAATGAAATTCTGAAATTCAGAAATGTTAAATAATAAGAGGCTTCGTTTGAATAAGATGAAATCTGTAAAGACATGTTACGTCCAGTTTTCCCTTTGTTCAATTTCTGGCTTCATCTCCAAAAGCTACATGTGCTTCTTTGAGTGAAGCGGAAATTTAAAATACAAAACATCAAGTGTATAATGAAATTTAAGCCAATTTTCATACGTACGTCTTTACATTAGGCCTAAAATGTTTGAAATGTTTTGGGTAATCCACCGTGTAATATTTCAAATTTTGATCGTCAAAGCATAGCATATACTAGGGTAGTTTTATATGTGTGTTCTTTAGAGATTCATAAGAGCCAGGTTAAGTTTAAAATTTATTTTAGAAAACAGCGTTAAATATCACAGAAAGTTTTGTTTAAACATATAAAACGAAAGTATATAGATCTAACTGTTTGTAATAGACAAAAGTTCATGGTATATTCTGTTTCACATTTGCAATTTGTTCCCCAAATCTTTAATATATATTTTTTATAAGAAATATTAACTATAGATATCCCATTTATATAAATATCGAATCTAATGGGTCCTATATCGATTCTAATGAGTGCAGGTATCATCAGCCAGTTAATGATATGCATTGCAAAATCCAAAGCATAACAGATAATTCTTTATTTGGTTCATTTATCTTCGACAATTAAACACATTGTAAAGATCCATGTTCCAAATAGTCAAAGACAAGGGAATAAGTCGGCAAAGTCGATCAATCACATGACACTAAAATATACAGAATTACAGCAATAAAATCATAATGAAAGTTTTAAAAAATAATAACACGGAAAGATTAGGCCATCCAAACCACTGTTGATAACCTCTCAAAAGAAATAATCTTCATCAGATTCGTCCTCATCTGAATCCAAATCAAAGATATCAACAAAAGCACGTCTGATCTCCACGCTTTCACCTCCATTTTCAGTGGTGAACTTCTCCGCTGGCAGACGATCCTTGCTAACCTGGTTGACTTTAACATCCTTGATATGACCGTCTGCTTCTAGTTTCCTAAAGACCCAGAGACGACGATTATCCAGGGTGTACCATTTTCCGTCTTTCTTACAAACTCTCATCCTGGGAATTTTGTTGATGACATAAGGGTGCTTTTTGCACACGCTCACAGTAGAATATATTGTATGACCATTATCAAACTTTTCTTTGATGGAGTCTTGACTGTAGAAGATTTCTGAAGGCTTCATATTCAATTTTGGGACGGGTATACATGTAGTTTCATTTTCGATTCAATTTCAGTAGAACAGGTGTGTGATTTTCCCAAAACAGTTTGTCTCTTTTAATTCATGACGCACGCAATACCCGGTAGTTAAAAAATATCTTTTACCGCTGTTAAATGTTAAGAGATATATATATACTGGTGTCTCATTACATCGCGGGTTTCATTGTATCGCGGTATATTGCAAAAAAATTTGATACATAGCCTATATTCTTTTTGTTGATGGACAATGTGTATTTTGTCTGAGTGTTTACTTTTTCATGATTAAAAAGTAGGGAACATCCGTTTGAAAAGAAATATTCAAATAAAACGTAGTTTTACAGATTTCCTGTCCCGTTTTTATTATATTTAGACCATTAAATTTATAAGCTATTGAAAATTATAATAAAGTTAATTTTTAAAGACTGTTAATTTGTACAATTAATTATTTTTAATGTAGAATTACATCGTAAATTCAAAAATAAAAATTGACGTCCATGTCAGCTAGAAGCACCCATGTTTTCCCATACCGCGATACAATGAGACTCTCCAACTTAGGAGGTAATTAAGAGTTCCTGTTTTAAAAATAGACCATAAGTTAAACGATGCAAGCTTGGAAAATAATTTGACACTTAAAAGTTAGGCTATAGTTAGATTTATTAATATCATTTGATAGAAGTTAAGTTAAAAAATTGTAATTTTACTTTTTTATGCAAAAGAATTAAGTACCGCGATATAATGAGATACCAGTATACATGTGTACATAGAGAGGATATATATATTGTGTAATTTGATATTTGTTTTATCCAACGATCGAGTTGAAATATGTACATTCTCGAGGCCTGCCTAGCAAATATCCACCAATTCAGAGAATTGAATAAAGCAAATATCAAATTACTTTTTATTTATCTCATACGATTTTTATTTTTCGCAAAACTTTGAGATAATCCCTGAGAAAATATGAAACCGATGAGTATTCCAAATCATTTGTTTTCGAAGTTATCTCCAATATCCAAATGTCACGAAAACATGAAATTGTTATACCTTTTTATATATGTGCGGAATGTTACTATTCACAAAACCACTTTGCATTACTTATGAAAACACAACAATGCTTGAATCATACAGCCCAAATTAAGGATTCGAAGATACGAGCATGGATTTACATAAACTGTTTCTAAGTTTCAGGGTATAAATTCAAATCCTATACAAATCCTATTCACTCAACCTCAAAATTGTGTACCCTTGCTTTAAATTATAATTTGCCAAAGCAAATGATAAATAAGTGATTTCTTTACACATTTCATTATATATTGTATGTCTAATCATATCACTACAGTATGTTAAATGATATGCTGTAGGTCATTGGGTGCATAAGGGAAACAACAATTTATTGGCGTTCTTATACTAGCAAATGAATAAATGTTAATCTTGTATATAGTAAGAGAAATCACTAATATTTTAATGATAGATCTCTAATTATATTCTAATTAAATATTTGAAAGCTATTCTTTGACTATTTATGCTTACTCCTATTAATTAGATACCTGATTTAACCTCTTGTTTATGGTCCTAATTTTTACAGATTCGTATTTTTTTTAAAAGTTTTAACACATTCACAAATATTTCTCTTTATAAAAGAATTATTGTCAACCATTGTAAACTCAGTCTACACATAATATAGTTATCTGTCGAAATTCTTTGAACAGTACCATAAGACAAACTTATAGTTTCTCATTTCGCTCTAACCGTCTAACTGTCTAACCGTCTCTGGTTTTGGACAACGTTAGACACCATTTCAAGAAAGTTTCCGCCAGACCTCCTTTTTTGGTCTTTCTGTCCTCTGCTGATCAGTCAGTGACCCATGACCCGCTAAAAATAGCTGAAACCATTTATAAACAAGTCTCTTATTTACATTCTATCCTCTGTGTGTCTGATTTTCATCGTAACTGTTTCTACAGGTGATTTCCCCATTTTGAAGCGAAAACGCATTACAGATCGTTTCAGCGATTTTTCTCCATTTCGACATTTTTTTGTTCAATCCAGCAGATTAAAACAACAATGTTTTTGATCAAAAAGCAATGATATCAAATTTATTTCCAACTTAAGACTAGAAAATGGCGTAAAATTTTGTCTATTAAAATATTGGGCAATTACATGTTTTGGTTTTTTTTTTAGATGTTTTTTAAGGTGTTTGTCTTTTTTATTTTAACAATTTACAATTTAAAACGTGACGTATAGTTGTGACGCGGCGACACCCCTTATCTTTAATATTTTAAACATCTATAAAATTAATTCAAGTAAACATTATTTAATAAAATTTTCAATTTTGATTAGATTTATTTTAATTTATGCATCTTTTGGTATATTATATTTGAAAATATGACGCCAAATATTAAAGATATTGACACAGTGACATTACTTTTGGATCAACCCTCGTATTTGTTATACTAACAATAAATAACAATGAGACCTGCTATCATTATATACAGCATCCCTTTTCAATAATTCTAGAAGTTTTTGTTGATATCACACAGCATCATCTAAAAATATTCCATGAAAGTCGGTTAGCCATGAAAAATGCAATTGCAAGGACAAAATCACCTAATACAAAATAATGAAATACTTTTATGATAAGTAGGACAGCTACCCTCTTTAATCGCTCATCACTATAGAAAGTCATGTTAAACGTAAATATTCGAGTTATAGAACTTTTTTGTTTTTTCCTACATTATTAAAATTCAAATGACGTCACAGCAGATTTGATTTCCCCTATATATACTGAGACAATTGTTCCTAGCGAAAGAAATTCCGCATTCAAGGACCACGTCTTTTTTTAACCAGGGGGACAGAAAAGGCATGGTAGAAATAATGAAAATCTTTATTCAATCTGCTACCAACAGAAGAACGGACACCGTAGATGTGTCAGAGGTGAGTTCTTTATCCGAAAAAAATTTGCTCTCTAGAATTATAATGTTTTAATATCATATTTTATGTTCAATATTTACTAAATACATGTACACAATTTTTTATTAATCTATTTCCCATGACCATCATAGCGAAGAAATATATATGTTGATGGAAAAAAATGACAATTAAATTTAAAAAAGGAGATGAGTTGAGAATAGATCATCGTAAAATGGATTTAGTTGAGAACTTCTTACAGTACATTAAAATGTTATTATACTGAGAATCATTTCCACTCTACCGTTTCAGTTTCCTTTTTTTGCAATGTTAAATATAAGTGCAATTTTTCGCATAAAATTTCAAAGTGCAAATTATTAACAAAATAGAGAGCATAAGGTTGGAGTCGCACTCTGCGTATAGATTCAAAATATTGTTTGATTGATCGTATATGTATGTTGTTTTACGTCCCAGACGAGACCATTTTTACTCATTTCGAGAAATATTACCAAATTTCGGTGAATGGCTTCAAATTTAGACCTAAATGTTAATCCTAACTCAGGCCCATTGATCAGTGAGAGTTCTTTATCGTTCTTAGCCCGTGGTGACACGGACTTCAGCATTGTACGTCTTATCCGAAAACACGCAAATTTCACTGGAAGTGTAAAACACAAAACGAAGAATAATTGTTCCATTTACCATTTTTATTTTATATTAACTTAGATCTGTCAATGCCTGGGCTTACGACTTTATGTTACTAACACATAACAATGTATAAATAGTGATATTATACAGAAAATATCAACTTCAAATCTGTGTCTATGCACCTTTAAGGCTTCGTTTAAACATCGCAGGAATTAACTCTTAATCCAAGTCAAACAAATTATACATGAATAATAATAATTGCCTCTCGAATCAGCTAACGGATATAAATCCCGTATGCAGGCGATGAAGGTATATTGTTGCAGAAGTAAGGGAAGTTGAAGATTGAAAAGCTAAATTCTTCACGTTTATCATATAGCTTAAGCTTGGTTGTTAGATTATCAAAGGTATATGTCCCGTGTCATGGCAGGTGTTGACAAAATAAGACCCCTCACTGAAAATTGCCCTGAGTGCCAAGTAAAGGTCTAAATGAAACCTTTCACTGTTATATGATGGCACTTTAATTATATGAAAACTTCTCTTATTTAAGGTAAAACAATACACAGTCAGGGAAGTAAACCCAAACACAGAAGATAGGTAATTTAAAAGTAAAACCGCAATTTTTTCATCGCTTTTTTATACCCCCCGCTTGAAAAGCAGGAGGGTGTATAGTAATCGGTATGCCCGTCTGTCTGTACGTCCGTCCGTCCGTCCGTTTGTCTGTTACGCTTCTCTTATCCGCAACTCCTCTCAAACCACTGAATGAAATTTGATGAAACTTTCACATAATCTTTATTACATATTGCCATTGTGCACCTCCTATTATACTTTTTGATCCAACACATGCTTTGGGTTTTCCATAGCAAAACATGGATGTTGCCATTATATGCATATGGGGTCAGGGGTATCATTTAGTGAGCTCATTGCTCACAGTACCTCAAGTTTTCATTTACAATAAACTTCAAAGATTTAAAGAAATCTACCATTAAGCAAGCTTTGTTTAAGGAATCGTTATTCGTGTAAAATAACTGCCACTGATGAAAATTGTAATTTTCCTGTTATATGATATTTGGTATCTTGTGTAAAGAAATAAGGAAAAGAAGAAAGAAACTAAGAAACAGTTGCTAAAGAAGGTTTATTGCCATTGTTATGTTTGTTGTGTTAATATATGCATTCACAAAGAAATTCAAATACTAGTAAACAAATTGATTTACCAGCATATTATACTGACTCATCAGCGAAAAAAAGTTTCAATGTATCATAAAATACCTTGTGTAATTGCTTATTTATCTCGCTTTTAATATACAAAAATAATTTGTTGAGATAAAGAAATTTTAGTAAACGTACAGAAGACACACTGGTTGGTTGTATGTTTGGTTCAAGTATCTTTGAGAATTTAAACACATTGTCAAGATCCTCTTTTAAATTGTCAAATACAATGGGGGAAAAATCAGCAAAACAAAGTCAACAATAAATCACACAAAGCTATATAATGTATATGTAAAACAAAGGTCAATAAAAATCCTCAAAAGAATCATATCCATCATAATAGAAATCGTCATCATCGGATTCCGAAACTGGTTCACGGATCCTCACACTTACACCTCCATTTTTGGTTGTGAATTTATCCTCCAACATCTGAGTACTGCTCACCACTATGACCTCTACGTCAGTCACGTGACCTGAAGCTTCTAGATTTCGAAAAACCCAGAGTCTGCGATTATCTAAGGTGAACCATTTACCATCTCTCTGGCAGACTCGCATCGAAGGAATATTGTGGATTACGGATGGGTGTATTTGGCACTTGAAAACAGTTGAGGACATCGACTCCCCATCCTGGAATGTTTCTTTTATGGAATCTTGACTGTAAAAGATTTCTGATGGCTTCAATCTGGTTGTCATCGTTGTTTTCACTTTCGATATCAATTCAGAGAACTTGATGTCCGATATCTATTGTCGAAATTAGTGTGGTTTTTTTTTTAAATTGATTCTTTCGCTTTAAATTACCAGAAAAAATAGTTTAAAACAACAGAGAGTTTTTTGTTTTGTTAAGTATGCAGAGATCTTCCACGCTATGTGGGCCTGAACTCCGTAAAAACACCGCACATTCATTTAAATAAAATTTGACTTCACCAATATACATGTATATGTTTAGTATATGACTGACACGATCGGTATAATTTTCAACGCCATATCAGTGCAAAACAAGGGGCACTGAGCTCACTAAATGATGCTTCCGCCTCCCATATGATTAAAATGGCGAAGTCCTTGTTTTACTCTGGGAGACCAATCTTGGTACGAATTAAACATGTTAAATATGAAGAGATCACATTCCCTTAGGATACAATGTATGTTCAGTTGTCTCTTTTTCACGTCAACAAAAAAGGAGACTTAGAAAAAGTTTATTTACAATAAATTACAGCAGAATAAGCAGTGGATGTTTACAGCGAAAAAAGATAAGATAATTATTTTGTCAGCTCAGTCCACTAAGACTTAAGGTCCTTTTATGAAACTAAAATTTGAAAAAAATACTTAAACGTGCATGGACACAGATTTGAAGTTAATATTTTCTGTATTATGTTACGACTTATATATTTAATAGCATTTCAAACAAAAATATATTAAAAATCTTATTTCATCTAAAAGTTATTAAAACTTCAAATTAAATTTTTAGACGGGTTTGATTAACACATCCTTGCACTTTCACAAATTTTAATTTTATTCTTAATACTTAGGAAAAGTGGCAATCCTGTTGTGTATAAATGAAAAATGTTAAAACTGTAATCCAGAAAATTCAGAGTAGAAATGTGCGAAAGCAAAACATACACACAGTATATTTTCAGTCCGTGCAGTTGTAGCACTGAGCATACTTTAACAATTGAACTCTCCCATTGAAACATCAACAAAAACAGAGCTCGTGCCCTGTTTACAAAAACTGAGTACGTTTCACGGGTGTGATCAATTTGCTAAACTCTGTACATAACACGTGGCGCGGAATGACGATACTTGTGAAGGGGTTTTGCTTTCTAACCTTTCTTCCCTGAATATAATTATTTTCTGGATTAACGTTTTAATATCTTGCATTAAAACACAACAAAATTGCCACTTTTCTTACGGATTAAGACTAAAATTAAAATTTGTGGGAGTGCAAGGATGTATCAATCAAAACCATACAAAAATTTGAAGTTTCAATAACTTTAAGATGAAATAAAATTTTAAATATATATTTTTCGTGAATTTCTATTAAGATATTTAAGTCGTGATATTATACAGAAAATATTTACTTCAAAACTGTGTCCATGCACCTTTAATAAACACAATCTTCAAGTCGTTGACGAATTTCCACACTTTCCCCTCCATTTTACGTGGTGAATTTTTGAGCGGTTAAAGGATCAGAACTGACTTGCTGAATTCTTACAGAGGAGACGTGCCCATCTTCTTCCAATCTCCTAAAGACCAAAATCGACGGTTGTCCAGAGAGTACCATTTTCCATTTTTCTTGCAAACTCTTATCGGAGAAATTTTATCAATGTCAAATCGATGCTTTTACAGGCACTGAGGGTAGAATATATTGTACATCCATTGTCAAACTCTTTTTTGATGGAATCTTGGCTGAAAATAATTTCTGACGGTTTCATTTTTGGAGTACCTTGAAAGTCTCTTTCAAACTATTTTCGATTTGGATTCAGCGAAAGAGATAAGAATATTAAATTTTTGGTCATATAATCTTCGTTTAGTTTCGTAATTTAAAATAAAAATAGCCATTTATGAGACGTTTGCAATGACAAAAATCAATATCTAAATAATATATCAGGTTACCTATGTTTCGCTCCAATGTATGGTTTAAATAAGATTTTGAAAATAAGAGAACTTATTTGTAGGCCCTAGTAATCGGAGATTCGGGCGTAAAGTTCTTTTTTGTCTGTCCATCCGTATGTCTGTCTGTTTGTTCTCAAAAACATTAACTTGTAGTGTAACCTATTTTTAAAAACTTTAAACCTGGCCATATTTTTCTGGGCAGTTTATTTCTTGTAATTTTTTGAAAGAAGAATTATCTGTAGTATGAAAAGAAGACAAAAACAAGAATTACCAACAAAATGTTGCGTTTTATTAAGAAAGGCTATTCAAAGTTTTTCTATGTTTTAAAGCGTCCGCGTGCGCCTGGGTTTTTGACACTTTTTTACAAACAGAATCAAGAGACCCGATATTTTTTTATTCTGGTCGAATTTTTTTAATTCTATCATTTCCTGTAATGATCTGTCTAAATTTTTATGGTTCTATTGGTATATTTTTAGCATGTAGTACCTTGATTTTGCTAAAGTATAGATCTAAAAAGGAGAAAAAATAATTTCTTGAAATCAAATCCTTTGAATTACGTTATTTTAATGAATATAAAGTTTTTTTGGGGGAGGGGGTGTTCTGTTTCTCTTTTGCAAATATGCAGGTAGATTTTTGAAAGATGGATGGAGGCTAAACATAGAAAAAAAAACTTGGAATGGCCTAAACATTATACCAAAAATTTGATCTGCTGTGAATTTTATTTTTTATAGGCTAATTGTACACATAGGATAAATCTTTGTTGTTCTGTTTGCTTTAATTCTTTGGAGGAAAGTCACCATGAAAAAAAGAATATAATTGAATAATAATAGAGATAATGGGGTCCATTAATTAAAATACCTTTACTGATTTATAAAAATTTCGTTCTAAAACTTGTGCCCAATTTATATTATACTTATTTCACATGTATTCGAGAGAAGTGTGTTGGATTAACTTTATGTTGTTTTACGTCCCCTTTCGAGAAAATTTCACTCATAGAGACGTCACCATATACCGGTAAAGGGCTCAAATTTATACATTTCTCACCATATACCGGTAAAGGGCTCAAATTTATACATTTCTCAGCACTCAGGACCACTGAGCAGTAAGGGATCTTTAGTGCCAAAACCTGCCGTGACACGGGGCCTCGGTTTTTAAGTTATCATAATAAGAACCTACAACTTTCGCCTCAAAATGTGAAGTGCTTGAACAGGGAATAGTTACAAATTATTTTTTATCGAGTTACGTCAATCGCGGTCGGGGAAGAGGAGGTTATAAAAGTTTCTCCTATCTGAAGAAATGGGAAAGCTACACCTCCATTTCTAGTGGTGAATTTCTCCGCTGTCATACGATCTTTGCTGACCTGATTGACCTTTACATCCTTGATATGACCGTCTGCTTCCAGTTTCCTGAACACCCAGAGACGACGATTATCCAGGGTGTACCATTTCCCGTCTTTCTTACAAACTCTCATCCTGGGAATTTTGTTGATGACATAAGAGTGCTTTTTGCAAACACTCACTGTAGAATATACTATAGGTCACAGTCAAGGTCAAAAGGTCAATGACCTTGGTGTTATATGAAAGAACTTAATTAGTGGAGTATGCATATCAAATATGAAGTCTTCATTTCTCATGTTTCTAAAGTTATGGCGAAGGTTAATGTTGACAACAGACAGACAGATAAACAGACAAACAGAACTAAAACAATATACGCCCCCCGATCTATCAATCCAGGCGCATAATAACACACTTATCCCATTTCTATATTGATACATTTACTACATGTATATAAGGTCCGTAAGGCTAAGGAAAGGACTAAAATATGCGTTGTCTGCTGCCCAATCCCATTAACTTTTATTTATGAATAAAATTTTGTATACATAAAAAATATAAGGTCCACTAAATGATCTTATTACTTTTTAGAAGCAATATTTCCACAGGCTAAAAATATCAAATACGTTTAAATATATTACGAATTATTGTAAGTAATAACCTAATTAAAAGTTAACTTTATAATCTAGTCTGTTTTCAGATGCATATCTCCTTGAAACTTTTAGGTGCTGCCTTGACCGAAGTTTTCATTGGACTAATTATTATTTGTAAGCATTATTTTATCATTATTACGACATCAGTTCGTGATTATTTATGATATATATGTATTCAAATGTTCTCCTTGTTGATTTACTGAATCTATGGCAAGGTAAATCCTGTATTTTCAATTACTTTCAATTGACCTAGACAAAAATATAATATTGATTATTCATATTGAAAATTGCACTGACCCACTGACCAGAATGTGTAATGCCAACCTTTAAATTCCACTGAACATGTGCAATTATTATAAATCTACAGTGTGTGTCAACTGCACATGCAAGATAATATACAAATTCAACTTTTAAAAATTTAGCAAGAACTTACTTTTATATATAGCTAGTAAATTGTCAAAATGGACGCAGTAACAGTGACATTTTCTTTCTCAGATGTCGGAAAATTAGAAGACAAAAACGTGAAAAGTGAAGAAGAGGTTACGAAGAGTAGTGTATCAGTTCAAACTTCCGGTCCTTGTCAAAAGAAAATTCGAAGCAAAGAGCGGGTATATTCGAAGGTTCTTGACCTGTTTTCAAATAAAACATCTATACTGAAGAGGAGAAGGCGGGCGTTATTAAGGAAAGGAAAGTTAAATTTCACGAAACACTTCGATGCAATTTGAAAGAGCTTTTGCGTGTCTTTTCAACACTTTTAAAGTCATTTACAGTAGTTCTTTGGCAGCAAAAACTTTTGAATTATAGTCATAAAAATTTACAATTACTTCCCCCATTTTCCAGAAAAATTATTTAGAAAAAGAGTACAGCGGTAAAAAGAAGCTTCTGTCGGGAGTTTGTCATCGCCTGGTCAACATCGGAATCCATGTTGATCACCTCACCCGGCGCATGCGCGAGAAGGGACTCCTACTGGAGAACCGCCGCCTGCAGAACAAACAAGTGGTGGAGCGATACGAGGAACTGAATCAACAGCTTAACTCTTGCCTCAACAGAGTGCTGAATGACTAGGGACAGAGTGAGGAAGTTCCTTCAGAAATCCCCACAATGTGATGGCGTTCAAATCAATTAAGCAGTTTTAAAAGCTTTAAAACTTTCATGGAATGATTGCAAAATTCTTCATGACTTTTTTCTTAAATTGAAATTTTTGGTGTTAAATATAATTATGAATTTCCTTGTATTTTTTTCTTTTCAAAAAATGCCATCATCAGTGTATTTATGACAAATATTTGTGATTTTTTTCTCAGATATGGACAGGAACTTCCTTCTCAATCCTATAATTCTCAGATTTCTGAAGAAAGCTCAATTATGCATAATTGATAAGTTAAATTAAGATTCGACTTGATAAGAATGGGAATTATAGTTGTGGCAATGTTCAACATTTTAATTATAGAGAGTGCAAGACCTCAAGCAGGTAATAGTTTATTAAGGTAGGATTCTTCTCACACAAAACTTGTATTTAAAATTTTTAAGAAATTTATACAGAATCATGGAGACAATATTACTAAGTGATGGCATCAGATTAGTTTTGACCGTTTTATATTAGAGTCAAGGTCAGGTCAAGGTCATTACCTTTTTCCTTGACATTAAGAGTAAAAATGACTGCATCCAATGATGCGATAGGATCTTCTAATTCAAAAGATTAAATGTTTTTCTTTTTGCATAAAAAGACATTACTATATAGGGTCTATAAGATGATATTACCAAATTGACCCAAATAGTTTAACAAAATTGAATTTTGGCTAATCCGAATTTTCTCTATTTTTCTTAAATTTTTAGGATATTTAAGTTATTTGTATATACACCCTATATTTAAATCTTTCTTATTTTCACATATGGTAAAGAAGTCATACAGAGTTACAAAATAATACAAAAACAAAAAGTTTTGACCGTTTACTAAGAGAGTAAAAACACTTTGAATTCTATGGATTTTTGGCTCATATCTGTACATAGATTGGAAGCGTTTAAAAGCTAACATAATTGTAGTTTGTATGGAAAATCATATTTATTTGATATGTTATAAACTTCAGTCCCTTATTATTAATTTAGCTAACATTTGAAAAAAATTTCAAGTCTTTGATTGTGTAAAAATTATAACTAAATTCGTTGTTCTACAATAATTTTGAGAGACAGAAAAGAAGATATTTTCATACGCCACCATTCCGCCAAAAATGTTTTCCCTGCTAGTTTTCGAACACAATATATCATTTCTATTTATA